GGTCGGGCGGGTCAATAGTACAATGATGCAAAGGAAAGTGGTCTGTGTAAATAGAAAGAATAAGTGATGGGAAGAATGAAATAAAGAGAAGGGGGAAGAGAGAGAAGAAAGAAGGGAGGAAGGAAAGAGGAGGGAAGGGGGCAGGGAAAGGATGGGCAGCGGGGCAGCGGGTGAGGTGTGGCCGGGTCAGGCGGGTGTGCCCTGACAAGATGCAGAGAGGAACTACGAGATCTATGACAAGGAGATGCTTGCCATAGTCCGAGCCCTAGAGGAGTGGCGCCACTTCCTTGAAGGCACCCCTGAGAGCTTCGATGTGCACACTGACCACAGAAACCTCTCCTACTTCCGCTCAGCCCAGAGGCTCAACCGGCGTCAAGCACAGTGGTCCCTCTACCTCTCCCGCTTCCACTTCCTATTAGTCCATAAACCGGGGAGACTCATGGGGAAGCCCGATGCCCTCTCTTGTCGGCCAGACCACCCAAAGGGGAAGGATGACAACACGGACATGACCCTCTTGCACCCAGAATGGTTTGAGGTCAGAGCTATGGAGGGGGTTGTAGTGGAAGGAGAGGAGGCAAACATCCTAGACAGGATATGCAGAGGGAAAGAGCATGACGAGGGAGTGGTAAAGGCGATGAGAGAGCTGGAGAGGGGGGCCCTACATTCGGATGAGTGGGAGAAGGAAGGGGAGCTGATCCTCCATCGAGGCCGGGTGTATGTCCCAAAAGACCTACAACTTCGCCACGACCTGGTATGACTCCACCATGACTCAGTGGCAACAGGCCACCCTGGGCGGTAGAAGACCTTGGAGCTCGTCTCCTGAAACTACTGGTGGCCCAGGATGGCACAGTACATCGCTCAGTATGTCTCAGGATGCGATACCTGCAACAGAGTGAAGACATTCCCATCTCAGAAGGTCGGGAAGCTTATTCCAAACAAGATCCCCTCCCGCAGATGGCAGGTGATTTCAGTAGACACCATTGGCGAACTCCCAGATTCCAAAGGGTACAATGCAATCCTGGTAGTGGTGGACCAACTCTCCAAGCGCATCCACGCAATCCCCACAGTCACTATGATGGACTCAGCAGGTGTGGCCTGGCTCTTCCTGGAACATGTCTGGAGGCACCATGGCCTCCCAGAGGAAGTACTCAGCGACCGAGGCAGTGCATTCGTCTCCCACTTCTCTAGGGAGCTGGCAGACCTCCTAGGGATCAAGCTCGCCCCTTCGACGGCCTACCACCCACAGACCGATGGCCAGACAGAGCGTGTCAACCAGGAAATAGAAACCTACCTCCGGGTGTTTGTAAACCACAGGCAGGACGACTGCCCCTTGCCGAGTTCGCCTACAACAACCGCATCCACTCCTCCACCTGCCACACCCCTTTTGAACTCGACTCCGGGCAACACCCATGCATGGGGACTGAACCGACCCACACATCCGAAGTCGAAGGGGCCAATGACTTTGCCTCTCGGATGATGAAAATGCAAGAGGAGGCAAAGGCGGCACTGGAGCATGCAGCAGAAGAGATGGCCCGGTACTATGACAGGAACCGGAAGGCAGCACCAACATACCAAGTTGGAGACAAAGTCTGGCTCAACACTCAAAACTACACGACAGACCGACCAACCAAGAAGCTTGACCACAAATGGATCGGCCCATTCCAGATCGTCAAGGTGGTATCCCCAGCAGCAGTAAAGCTACAGCTTACAACCCAGCAGAGAGGAATCCACCTGGTGGTCTCGGTCTCAAACACCCGCCCCTATACCCCAGACAGAATCTCTGAACGCCGCACAGACCCACTCCCGGGCCCGGACATTGTAAATGGGGAAGAAGAGTATGAGGTGGAGAAAATCTTGGACTCCAGGTACCGGTATGGACGGCTCTGGTACTTTGTCAAATTCTCTGGCTGGCCAAACTCGGAAAATGAATGGCTCCCCAGGGAAAACCTGGAGAACTCCCCAGACCTCATAAAAGAGTTCCACCAAACCCACCTGGAAGCCCCCAGACCAATGAGGATGAGAGAACCCCCTCAACCAAGGACCACAGCCGCTTCAAGGCGAAGCGGCATAGAGGGGGGGTGATGTCAGGGCACAGCCCTTGATCCCACACACCCTCAGACACCCTTTCCCCCTCCTAACCACCCTTCCCCCATTTTTCCCCATTTTTCCCCCACTGTTCCACAATGGTACCGGTACGCAAACCCGTGGGAACGTTCTGGGCAAGCAGCTCGCCCAGAATCTTCCCACGGTACCTAATATGGAAACTCGGGAAAGACCCGACAACTGCACAGTTCCCAGGCTCCTTTTGTAGCAGCTTCACAGGGGGTTGAGAAGGTTACCCTTCTTCTCAACTCATTCCCTGTGAAGGCAAGTGTAATTACCTATTTCCTAATGCGCAGCAACTCATTCCCTGTGAAGCCCAGGGCAAGTCCCCTCAGCGACTTTGAGGAATTAGTGGCTGGAGAAGACTCTCCAGTGCCGCTCCCGGACCTCATTGCTACACCCCCTCTGGACAAGGGATGGACCCTGACATGTGCCCAGTTACACGTCCGTGCCCTAATTTACTTATTGGCAACAAGAACTAAGGGGGATCAACTCTAGTCGATTTTATTACTGAGGTGTAACCTATGTACAAGTTGAGTATATATAGTTACAGCGAGGGCAGGCCTGTAAATGATGGGGCTGAGTGGAGCAGAGCTAACAGGGTTAAACATTAGCCGATTGAATATTACTGACAAGTCAGGTTACGGGGTTAGTGGAATGGTAGGCGATAACCCAGAAATGGAAAGGAGGGATAGGCCTGAAGGTGGGCTTGCAGGGCAAGCGAGTGAACTGCCCAGTGGAGGCAGGAGTGCGCTAGTGGACGTCGGAGCTGTCCGGAAGCCTTTGGGGCTCCATACTTAGGGAGGCATAGGTAATATATTGACAAGAGGGGGTGGTGACCATTGAGGGAAGTGGAGGTGATTGCGGAATATGGGAGCTCCGAGGTTAGTGAGGAGGGAGTGGAGGTAGTCCAGAGAGATTGGAGGTAGTGGAAGTCGATGGCCGTGAATGGATATGACAGAAGGGGTTCTTGGAGTAAAAACTCCACACTCGCTTTGTGCAGGCAAGGCCATTGTGGAGGGTGCTTTTCTTTCATAGAGGTGTTAGAACGGGCGGATTCGGACGACTCCGGAGTGGAATCAGAGACTTAGCATGGAAGGACCTTGGCCTCAGCGACTCAAGTGGAGCGCTGTGCCATTGCTGGTTGTCCTAGGGGTCCCTAATTTCGGATCTAGCAGAGGGAAAGTCTCTTGGGGGAATTCATGTCGATTTCGGACTGAGGTTACAAGTTACTATGTACATTGTATATAAGGAGGGGTCTGGAATCAAAAGGAGCGAGGGTACTCCGAAAGGAGACAAAGGGAGCTGGAAAGAGGAACAACACCGAGGGTCAAGGGTTTGACTCAATGGTGTTTCCCAAAGGAGGAGTGAAGGGCCAAGGCCCAAGGAGGAAGGAAGGAGGTTGGGAGTGGGGAATGGCTAGCTGACTGAATAGAAAGGAAGCAGCAGCCCAAATAGGAGTGAGGGAGAATAGCGGAATTGAATAGGACAATGCAAAAGTTGCAAGGTCCAACGTAAGTCCGGAAAGTCCGAACTCAGAAGTTAAACTCCGGAATATTGGCAAACATAATTAAATGGAATGAGCTAACCAATACAATGGGTATAAGTGGAGGTGGGGTCAAAGTCCAAGGTTGGAGCTAAGACCGGAGGTTCTGGAGATGGAGACGCGAACAGGATTCCGGAGCGGAGGTCCGGAGTCAGGAGCATAGGTTTTGCATACTCATCTGGAAGGTGTCGAGGTTGGGGTCGGACCCGGAATGTTCCGGAGTCGGACCGAAGGTGGTGTCCAAGCCAGAGGTGGGATAACCTCTTGGGAGTCGGCAAGGAGAAGGTGACGGAAGGGAAGTAGGGCTCCGGAAGTCGGAGTTTGGAGTTCCAGGAGCCCGGAGCGGAGGTCGGGATTGTATGGATATGACAATAGAGGGGTCTGTTCGCTGGTTTTTCCTTACTTTTCTGTAAGGCCTCCTCAGAGACCTCCTCCAAAGTTGGTGACCTTGCCTTGTCTGGCATGGTGTGGGGTAGTGTAAACAGCGGAAGTTCTTTTGGAGCTTCTGCACTCTGGGAGATCCTGCTCTCAGGGCATTTTTTTGCACCTTCTCGGGCTTCCAGTCTGAGAAGAAGTTGGTCTTCATTTTCCATCCTCCATTCGGATGGAACCTGGAACAAGTCCAGTAGTTTTTCAGATAGCCGATGCGGAGGTTCTTCCCCCTGTTCCCCTTTGTCTGCCTTTGGGGCTTTGACTTGGGGACATGGGGGAGGACTCCAGGGGATAGTGGGGCCCTGGAGTTTCCTGTGACTCTATCCAATCAGCTTTTCAGGCTGATCATTCGGTGCTTATGCATTTGTCATGCAAGTCGATCACCTCCTGAGGAGGTGAGGGATCTTCCCCAGCTTGGGTTAGATCGATATGACATGGAGTTCTAGGGGTATTGGGCCCTGCACTTACTCCATATAAGTTTCTAAAACCTTCAGGGGCCATCCCTGAGGTGGTTGCTGTTTTCAGATCATGTTGATCCTCATCGTCATCTGATGATGGCTGTTGATTTGAATCTCCCATGATGGGAGATTGCGGTTTCTTGATAAACCACTTGTTTTTCTTTATCATCACTGCAGACGCAACCTTGCCCTTGCAGGCATGTTTAGGCGCCATTGGCGCTACCGAGTCAAATTGTTAAGATTGATAAGTTTGGTGGGTTGTGTTGTAAAACTCATACACTTAAAAAAGTGTGAGGTCTCAGTGGGTAGCTCAGCACACAGAGCTGTAAGTGATACAAAGGTGTGTATTTTATGGTGTGTGTAAGCAGTTAACTGGAGGTTACCACTTGCCCATGTGACTATATGTATCTTTTAATTACATATGGCTTGGGGTTCAGGGCTATTGCCCTGACATTGTGGCACTAAAGACGAGCTTGAGGGGGAAACAAATGTGTTGAATGCTCACTGTCGTCCTCTGTCTGTGGCTTTTGGCCTGTCACAAAGTCAGGTGTTTACTTATTGGGATGAGTGTTGACGCACTGGGCAACATGACAAGCAGTGCCTCTCCATTTGACAGTGGCTCCCCATCTGACACTGCACCTCGATCTGGATTGATCAAGTGTTCTATTACCTGCCTCAGACGGAGTTTTTTAACCCCCCTATTAGAGAATGCCTTGCTGACTAGCTCCTTAAGCACAATCATAATCGACAAAATTAGCCAGTGAGTTTGTAAATCTCCACACTTCAAGCTCAAATGCAGCAGTGTCATCAAGGCGAGGCGACACCTTATCCTTGACCTTCTCCTTCAAGCCAGCAACATTGGTCTCAGAAGATATCCCAACCTGGAGTGGCTCTCCAGTAGGCCTGTTATCGTGATTGACGACAAGGCACCAGACTTCCATGACAGTGAACCAGACACAATAAATTCAGCCAACTGTCAGGGGACGACTCCCGGGTCCCCATGACCCTCCCCTATGGTCCACAGCCCTGTGGTGTAACCACATGAAGGGGTAGGAACCGGGCCCGGAGCATGCAGCGCGTGGAGCATGTGCGCATGCAGGAAGCACAGTGGGTGGAAGCGGGTCCGGATGCGGGTCCGGGTCCGGGCTAGTCAGGGTGTGTACCCTGACACCAACTCCGTGACAATTACATACATACAGCAGAGCAAATCTGCAAATTGTGACAACTTTGTGGACCCAGATCGATAGGAATCGTGAGCAATCCGACAGGTCCCTAGGTGGTGACTGTTAAAAACCCGTCGGTTATGGAAGAGGGTGTAAATGCGTGAGTCCGAATGCAGGCGGGGCTCAACTAGAGGGGGGTCCGAGGGCTCTGGTAGTGAACCGAAGCTTCTCAGGGAGCCCGGTTCTGCTGGATGGTACAAGAGGCTCTAAGAAGGACGTGGCCTCAGCGACTCGGAGGGAGCACTGTGCCTCCGTTACGTCTCAGTTAGTCCTTGTACTTCTTATGTCTGAGGTGTCTTGTAGAACAGGGACAGGATTCACTCAGAGGGACTTTGGGTGGCATTTTTAGTCGAGATTAGAACTGAGGAACTACAGGTTCTAATCTACGTGTATTTATAAAGGAGGATGGGGAGGACTTTAGTCAAAGCCCGAAATGACAAAATGGGGAAAACACCGAAAGGTACCGAATGATACCGAGAGGTACCAAAAGGTTCCGGACGATATCTAAAACGGGGAACCGAGGTGTCGGGCCAAGGAGGGCGGAGTTGGAGGCCGGAAAATGAATGGGGAAGACAAATGGGTAAAGGGGGTTAGCCGACTGAATGGTAGTAAGAAGGTAGTCGTGCTAAGAATGGAAGATGACTAATAAGTGATAGCGTGAAGGAGATCACCGAAGGATGCGGTTAGCTCCGAAAGCGGAGTTGCGTATCCGAAGGATGTTGGGTGACTCCAATAAATGAAGTGGGTGAAGGAATGGTTTAAGGGCATGTCACGGGATGTCGGAGGTCCATCAGGATATCGGAGCAAATCCGGGGTCTCTGAATGTTCCGACTTGGGACCGAGGCTCCGGGATGGGAGTAGCCAAGGTTCGATGTGCCGTAACCAGACCGGAGCTGAGACAGTCAGGAGGGAAGGTGACTTGGAGAGTGGGGAGGCATGGTGTAGGGGATGGTGAAGTTGTTAGGAAGGTGTGATGTGGTGGGAGTGCGCAGGGTCGGGATTCCGGGATATGACAGTGACCTTCTTCACTCTAACAGGCTACACGTTGGGTTTTTAGTATTAGCATTAGCGGACTATTGGGGTGCTGCACAATGAACCTATTCAAACTTAGGCCACCAAGTAGCTGATGGAACATTCAAGCTGCTTCTGACGTTCAATGAGTCCTATCCCAACAAACCTGCCACCGTTCCCAAATATGCTCCATCCGAACGTTTATGCGAATGGAGAGCTTTGCTTCAGAATTGCTGGTCACCTACCCACAATGTCGCTGTGGTACTAATGAGCATCCAAATGTTTGTTCCACAATCCCATCGGTATGGGTTTCATTAGTTTTGATGCAAACCCTTGTCCAGATCATCTTATGCTGCACAACACCATGTGAGAGTGATTTGGAGTTTCTATTCATTTCAAGGTGCATTTTTCAAGCTCTGCCAGTGACTGTCATATCCATCCACGGCCATCAACTTCCACCGCTTCCGATCCCTCCAGACTGCCTCCGCTCCTTCTCCACTAACCTCGGAGCCCCTGTATTCCGCAATCACCTCCGCATCCCTCGATGGTCACCACCCCCTCTTTTCAATATATTACCTATGCCTCCCTCAGTACGGAGCCCCAAAGGCTTCCGGACAGCTTTGACGTCCACTAGCGCACTCCTGCCTCCACTGGGCAATACACTCGCTTGCCCTGCAAGCCCACCTTCGGGCCTATCTCTCCTTTCTGTTTCTGGGTTATCGCCTGCCATTCTGCTAACCCCATAACCCGACTTGTCGGTAATATTCAATCGGCTAATGTTTAACTCCATTAGCTCCGCTCCACTTGGCCCCGCCATTTATGGGCCCGCCCTCGTTGTAACTATATATACTCAACTTGTACATAGGTTACACCTCAGTAATAAAATCGACTAGAGTTTACCCCCTTTAGTTCTGGTTGCCAGTTAGTAAGTTAGGGCATGGACATGTTACTTGGCACAGCACTCCTGGCATAAGTCGCTGAGGCCAAAGCCCTCCGCCATGGAGACATTCCTTCATCTCGACCTGGTCTCTGACAGTATTTTATTACTCCCTGACTAGTACACGTCTTGTATGGCACCAAAAGCCCCTAGCACTCGTTCGCAACTACACACATTAGTTCCCAACTCTGCCTCACCATCCCCAGAACCCTCACAGCCTGGTCCTAGTCGATTGGCGAGAAACCCAGTTGAGTTTCACAGGTTTTCTAATCTAGAAACTCCTCTCCCATCGACTCCAATCATCCGTCCCGCTAGAAATCAATCACCAGTTGCAGATTCCGATTTCGGAGACACCATGGAACAGCCCATAGACCCCGTTCACTTCTTTGGACTCGGTTCCAAGGTCCCCGATTTCGTCGACCCTCCTCCTGCTGATCCTCCCATCCCCTTTGTCCCAACCGCTGACGATGCCAAACCCATCCCCAACATGGCTATTGCACAACTAGCCCAAGCCATCGCCAGTTTGGCTCGTCACACCGGACGTCCACCATGTCCACCATCCTCCACTCTCCGGACCAAGGTCCGTGAGCCCGAACAGTTCGATGGAAAAGATCCCCAAGAACTCCGAGTATTTCTGGTCCAATGCGAACTGAATTTCCAGGACCATCCCCTCGCTTTTGCTAGTGACCGCGCCAAGGTCATCTTCATGCAGTCCTACCTCAAGGGAATGGCCCTCGATTGGTTCGAGCTGGATCTATTATTCGATCAAAATTCTATGCTTTGTCCATGATGGATGAATAACTATCAAGAGTTCGTCAATGAACTTCAAACCAACTTCAGTCCTCACGATCCTGTGGGTGATGCCGAAGTTCAACTAATGACCCTAGACATGAAGGACGGGCACCACATCAATAAGTACGTTGTCGAGTTCAACCAACATGCCTCTCAACTTCCTGGTTATGGAGAAGCCACACTTCGTTGTTTTTTCTATAACGGATTGCCGGAACGTATCAAGGACAATATTGCCAGACCACACCCCACGCTGTACTGCACTACCCTGCTATCACTTCCCGTCTCTCCTCCCCCATTTTCCCCCTTCTCTCTATCTCTATTTCTATTTCTATTCTACAGTCGATTTCCCTTTCTCCATGTACCACTACATACCTAACCCCGCCCCCCTGATCGCCGCACGCGCCATGCACACTCCCACCTACTGAGCAGCCACCTCCGGGATCTCCTGTGGAGACACCCAGGGAGGTGCGGCTGTGTGCAGAGATGACGTGGCTTCCTCCACGTGACCCTAGCCGCATGTATATAATAGTGCCTGGGGTAGGAACAGAAGAAGCAGCCTTCTTCTCAACTTCCCACTTCAGGTAAGTACCGTAGCTTTTCCCCTTTAATGATAATCTCAACTTCCCACTTCAGACTAAGTGGTCAGGGACGCTCACCCCGCAACGGGATCGCTGCTACGCACAGCCGCTATTCATCCCACCAAGTCCCGTGCGCAGGGACCTCGCCGCTTTCGGAGCTGTCCCTGACACCCTTCGGTTAATGTTCTACCCATTGTAGATAGTGTTGCTGATGTACCACTCTCTCCTCCACCCCCTCTGACTACTTCCGCAGATCGATCCACCTCTTTCCATTACTCTTCTTTCTCTTCTCCTGTCTCTTCTTCTCCTCCATCCGATGATAGGACACAAAATAAACTCTTCCGCACCTATGAGAACGTACCCACACTCATAGACTCTGGGTCTTTGGACTGCTTCATCGACGACACATTCATAAAGAAGTTGGCCTTGAAGACATATCAGATAAGACCCCTACAACTACGCCTTTTCGATGGTAGCACCAACTCAATCATAACCCGTGCCATTGATATTCCCCTCAGCTGTCACAACCCAACATATCTGTCACTTCCGTCAACGCGTCCTAGTGCCACTTGTCCCGTCCCGCCCGCTATCATCATCATCCATCCATCCATCCGTCCACCCATCACCCTCATCCACACTTCCTCCCCCACATGCATACCTTCCAACCTAGGTTGCCTGCTTTGTTGTTGTCCACCTGCCAGCTGGATGGCTTGCTAGACGGCTGGATGGCCTTTTCTCTTTTGTCCACTTGCGGACTATTGTTCCTCCTTTTGTTCCTTGCTTGCCTTTTGTTGACCAAGTTTGCTGATATTAACTATTTGTTTCGTTCTTCATTCATTAATATCGCACTTGATCCGCCACTCCTTCCAGGCCGGTCTTATTTAGTTACTTGTGTTTATAATGTGTGTAGGTTACACCAGATGTACCTCAGTTCGTATATCGACTTGGATTCCCTCTCTAGACTCTTCTCCTCATCGTAAGGCTTCTGTCTGAAATTGGGACACCAACATAAGAACAAAGTGCAGCACTCCACCCAAGTCACTGAAGCTAAAGTCCCGCCCCTCTGACCTTACGAGCCCAGATGACTCCGCATGCCTTGCAGGTCACCCGGATATGCATCTGGCACATTCCTGACATCCGCTTCGCTTCTGGAAACATCACCCCCACGACTTTCTTTGTCACATCGCTGGATGGATCATGTTCCCTAGTCCTAGGACACAACTGGCTTACCCGCTACAATCCGTTGATTGACTGGGTCTCAAGCAGTATTACGTTCCAAACTTCCAAACCTACCAAGACAGTTACTCCGAGCTCTCCCCCGTCGTCTCCGGTACCACTGCCGTTGTCCGACATCCAACCATCTGATGTTCCACCAGCACCCCAGCCCCAGGCTCCCACTCCTCCGTTACCACCTATCGAGTTTGTCAGCCGTTCCGCATTCACAAAGGCTTGTCGACTTGAAGGATCAGTATCCTCAGCCTAACCATCCCCTCCAAGGACAGCCGCTTGAGGGCTGCCTCATCCCACACCGTTTCCATTGACCTCTTGGCCATTCCAAAGGAGTATCACGAGTTTGCAGATGTGTTCAGTAAGAGCAAAGCCTCGATGCTGGCACCGCACCGTGAGCACGACCTGAAGATCGACCTTGAGGAAGGCACTTCACCACCCTTGGGTACTATGTACTCTCTCTCTACTTCGGAACTCGAGTCTCTCCGGGTGTTCTTAGATGAACACCTAGCCTCCAGGTTCATTTGTCCCGCTACTTCCGCTCACGCTCTTCGTCCACAAGAAGGATGGATCCCTCCGTCTTTGTGTTGACTTCCAAGGGCTGAACAAGATCACCAAAAAGGATCACTACCCACTTCCCCGCATCTCAGACCTCCTTGACGCCCCTAGCTGTGTGTTACAGGAATGGGTTCCGGGGAACCCAACCTGAGCCGTTCGGCTCACTAATGGAGGTGGCTGCGTAGCCATCGGAGGGAGAGCAGAATAGGATGAGGGTATGGGAGTACAACCTGTGTGTCGGCCAACGGTAACTTGGCGCTCCTGGGAGCATACCGGTAGCAAGTATGATGTGGGCTCCTTGAGGGAGCCACCTGGCTGTCTGCTAACGGGGACTTGGCACTCCTGGGAGCGTGCTGGTAGCGGGTGTGCTGGGAGTGTTTGGCTAGCGGTGACTTGGCGCTCAATGGAGCGTACCGGTAGTGAGGGATACTGGGACTCCCAAAGGGAGTCACCCAGTTGGTGGCTATCGGTGACTTGGCGCTCATGGGAGCGTACCGGTAGTGGGAGTTGTTGGGGAAAGCAGGCTGGTGGACCAGTGCACGGTAGTGGGTGACCGTGGGAAGTGGGACCCACGGGTGTGTGGCCAGGCATCCTGGAGCTGCCTGGACCGTATCCTTCTCCTGAGGAGGTGGGATAGGCTACAGTTCCTGATAGGGAACTTCTGGTTGGATGGGAGTAACCACTCGACCACCCGGTGGACTGGTGGGAGCGGACAGCAGGAGGTTGGGCATGGGAATGCCCTCCTCATTGCGGTTTTGTCATGGAGAGGAGGAATAGGGAGGTGGACATGGTTCCAGGGTTACAGGTTGAGTTTACAGTGGTGACACAATGGTGAGGATGTTACAATCGCGGTACAAGGTTTGTGGGTTATGTATTTGATAATCATCAACATCCTCGGCATTTGCCTTTACATGTCATATGACTGGTTTCTATCTAATATCAAAGTCTCAATGGTCAAGGGAAGTCCCTTGAAACTTAACAATTCCCCCAGCCAGCACCAAAACCCAGTGGGAAAGCTTGGCATGGAGTTTGACAGAGAAATATAATGAAGGAGGGCAGAGACAACCTACCTACTTGCAGTCACGGACCATAAGAATCTAGTCCATCTCTATAACACCGTGCCACAGTCTATACCAGACTCGACCTCCGGCATGCTTACCACCTGGTTCGCATTGCAGCAGGCAACA